CTTGCTTGCAGTGAAATGATTAAAACACTTTAACCTGAAACAAACGAAAAAACATCGATTAACCTTGAATTTTGCTAATACGATCTTTCATTTTTATAGCAACATGAGACAATTTTGCTTTTTGGCCTCTGTTAACATAACAACTTAATATCAAATTATTAAAACCTGAGACCTTCTGCGTTAGCGATCAAAAATAATCACGTCGGTGTTTATATTATAGGATAGATTCGACCTTTAACCAATCTTATTTTCATTCTACGCTACTTTTTTAATGTTTATTAAATACAAGACTCAAGAGCCACCCAAGTTAGATGATTACTGATGTTTTATGAAGAGGAAATAAGTGTATATTATGAGGATAGCTAAAATAGATAACCCTAGACTGGAAGAAGATAAGATTTTAGCGATCGGGGAAGTATACTCTCGCTATTCTGTTACACAACGTAGCAATTCTCTGAAAGAAAGTTCCTGAATGATATTACAAGGGAATACAAAGGTAACGAGGATGATTTCACCCAGCGGACGGGGCATGTGCAAAGCATGTCGAGTCTTAAGTGTAAAGCTGGTAAATCTAAGGTGGGTATCTATGTTAGCCTCATGGTATTACTGATAGAATAGCGAAAGTTTTGCGACTTTTCGTTTGTGAGAATGGAGATTCAGAGTTGAAAATAATTAATCACCACAAAACTGCGTAAACTCTATAAACTCAGATCTGGACATTGGTGATTGCTTGTTTTTATTTATTGTTTTTTTTTTTAGGTAAATGTTCTCTCATCCAGCATTGTACTTTCCTGTCAACTGCGATGCTCAAAACTTTAAATCCAACGTCAGTCTTTACCTTCTGCCTCTCTGAAACGCGGTTGTTTAATGTCGTCTGTCTCTTTGAGAAGAGACAGACGACATTAAACAAAGACTAATCAAAGACTAAACAAGGTTAATGAGATCGATTAAATTCAAAAGCTGAAGCAGATTTCGAATTATACGTTTCTTAAATATTGTTTGCAAGCTATACCGGGTGTAACAGAAAAATTGTCCAAATCCGGTACAAGCATGGAATAATTGCCCATCCCTCAAAATATATAATATCTAAAAAAAACAAAACAAAAAAAATCACACACACTAAGCTAATTGATTTTCTTTTTTCTAGAATTTCCGAAAAGACGTTTAGCCATGTTCATACTATTGTCGTAGACTTACTGAAAACCCTTTGGGTTATTCAGCTAAAAAGAGAACAGCTTAAAAATAATTGGCTCGTGTCATCCCCACTGTCTTCCCAAATGGGCAATGTTGAGAGGAAAAAGAACCTTCAGGCCTTCACTAATGGTACCAACATTCATATTCCGGCTTCCCTCTTGAAAGTCTATTCAAAAACCATCGGTGAATATGTATAAAAAGAAGGCAATAGAAACGAAAACTGAATTAAGAGGTCACATCAGGAAGAGGGATCATCATTTCAACTTAGAGCGAAAGAGATCAATTAAAAAAGATCCAACTCGATCCACAAGACGTTCAGCCCGTGAGAGAGGAGTTTCACCTATGACAGTACAAAGGGCAGTGACAAAAAAAAAAAAACTTGAAAATGAAATTGTACGTGAAACGTGTGAGTCGCCTTGATACTCCAGGTCAGAAAATTAGGTTAGAATAAATTGGAAAATGCTCCTGATGCAATATATATATATATATATATATATATATATATATATGAACTTAATTTCAATCCTTTATGAGCTTCTGATTAATTAATCATGAATATATCATTTTCATTTGTGATCGATTTCATCAGGATCATTCTGTTAAGCTTGGAGAATAATTTTACATTCCTATTGCCCAAAGTAGAGTCTAGTAGTGTTATAAAGACCTCGGAGAATTCCAATAAAATATCTTTAATCATTTCTATGATACAACGGTTCAGAGCTTCATCTAACAAATAGACAATTTTGCTTTTACACGATTTGGACAATTTTGCTGTTACAAGCGGTATACAAGTTTATTAGCTTTTTGGTGGTCTTCCTTGTCAGGTGTGCATTTTATGCTTCAGTTCACAGACGTTTTGACTGAGTTTCAAGATAGGAGAAAATATTTGGAACAAATCCAATGTTTTTACTTTTCATGTTAGCCGTTTGCCATTATTTTTATTTAGTTTTTAAAAGCTGTCTACCCGTGAGAAATGTATTTTTACTTCTTACTATTAGCCGAGACAAATTACTATTTATAATGTATCGAACAAAAGTTCAGAGGACAAAGGTTGAATTCAAAGAAGCACAGTTCTTATAAATCATGAGATCAAAGTCGTGGAAAGTGATTTTCTAGTTTAGAAATTCATATATAAATAAAAACGATAGATAAATTACGAGAAGGGGATTAAATTTAAAAACAAAAAAAAACTACCCCTACAACCCCCCCTCGAAAAAAAAAAAAAAAACAAAACAAAACACCATAACATTCGTACCTCCATAGAGACAAACGACTAACCTCTGGTCTTGATTGAAAAGCAAGCAGTATATGCATATAAAATAAATGTTCATATTGTTTTACAGTTATAACCAACTCTGCATTGTTTCATTGCTATCTGAAACAAGTACAAAATATTTTTCCTACTTTCGTTAGTGCATACAGGACGAGGTTACGATATTTTTAAGGAAATATCACTTCAAGACGTACATGGTTATTTCTCTCTAGATTTTCTATTATTTCGTGCTACCCATTCAAATATTAACAGCTAAAACCAGTCTTCATAGGGCTGAATCGCTGTATATCCAAAGGATTCAATTTTTAAGAAGGAAATTCCACTCGGAGAACGTTTTACCGAGAACTACAACTTTGTGTTAGTGTTATAGTGGAACACCCCTATTCTATAGTTAATAGATTCTCCCACCTATAATAAGTAGGAGTAGTAAGAGTAATGAGGCAGTGAGTCGGTGAATTAGTTGGTGTCGGACGACAGTTAGTCGAATACGAAAGTATCAGCGACCACAACTAGATTACTCTGCGTTATACCTATTATATCAAGTTCCTAACGTTTTGTACGTCGAACCTATTTTAGGATCGACTTAGTACAAATACAAGCCTCCACTGTGAAATCACTCCACAAAAGTTAGAGACTCCCATGTGGATACTTACCCGAAGACTACAACCGTAACCACTTCAATTCTTGGGTCAAACTTTATCTATCTTACATATATCTTGCGAACAGAATGTATTTATAAGCTTGGATGTGCAGGTGGTGTAATGTATAACGGGTTGGAATTGCAGATTAGAAAGCCGAGTTCAAATCCAGTTGGGTTCATTATATTTACTTACGGGAAATGCCCGAAAGAAAACGTAAACATTCACTACTTCTTCCCTAGCTATGAGTTAATTTAGTATCAGTAAATGATTTCATCTCCAAAAGAATTCTTAGAATCTAAAAAAAAGATATCTTCTGGATTTAAATAATCTGCAAGAGGTTGATAAACAATATAAAAAAATGAACCAATATCCTATCATGTCCTCATAATTTTAATTTCCCACTTCTTCCTCTTATGCTCATATGACACTCATCATTCATTAACCCTCTACCTTGAGTGTCTCTTGAGTCCTGTACTGGGTGAACATTAATAAAAATCTGAATTGAAGCAATGTCTTTGGAAACGTCTTTCTCGAGGTTTTGAATTCAAACTTTTTATTCTCCGAGATTGGTTGCAATTGAAAGCTAAAGTAAGGTAATGTAAGCTCTAACCACTGCTTTACGGTCAGATATCTTAAAGTTTGTTACTAAGCGGAAAAAAAACAAGGTGTCAATTGGAAGGGATTACGATCAAACTAACAACTGCTCTGTAAAAATGAAAAATAAATTTTACACAGTGTTTATAAGTTCGTAATACTCAGTAAGGATAAAAATTATGTTATGGTTAGGTTCACATTCCTCAACGGTCTTTTGAAAAGGAGTAGAATTTTATCCTTAGATTCCTGTTTAAGATTGTGCTTCCTGTTCATTCTAAAGTCTACTTCAACCGTATACTTCTAACGTCTCCGTATGAACACTGAAACTGGAATAACTAATTATTTTATTTTTATTTCTTCTCAAGAGCAGAAGATAGTTCACCTATGGTCTGGATCATATTGACCCCCGATCCCTTAAACAGGTGTATAGGTTTATCTCTTGTGCCTAATTTAGGGTTGGGTTTCCGATTCCTTTTAAAATCTTATCATTTCCAGTAACGCCTTCTGTCTTAGTGGCATTATTTCCTTGCTTGGGACAAAATGATAAAAAAAAAACTGCTTCAAAGATAGATATAGATATATTTACTAAAGAACTAATATGGATCAGTTAGTGTGGATCGTTCTTACAGCAGTAATAATGGTTTCAGAAACTATATTATATATGCTGCATTTTAAAAATCTTGTCATTACTTAAACGAAATTTACTGTGTCTTATTAACATGGAGACGCGAATTGTGCAAAGTTATCTGCGGCGGAGGGGGGGGTCGAATTCTGCATGGCAATTCCAATTCCTGCTTGATTGTATTTTAATCCATTCGCATTTATGCCCTTGGAAATTGTAAAGATCCGGCTTGTGTCAGTTATAGGTAAACTAAAAGCTTAGTCTGGCCTCACTTGCAATAAGTGACAAGCGGATTAGGATTAGGAAAATTCAGGAATCAAAATCAGCCTGAAGCGAAATGTGTTCTCTCAGGCGATTGTCCAAGACTCACTATATGTGTTATAGCTAAAGTACATGTGATGCAGCTAAAACCGAATAAAACTGGACTACATCTTATGCAAAATGTAAAAAAAAAAATAACTTCTAATAATTATTTCAAGCTATAGATATATTTAAATATTCTACCTGCAAATAAGTGTGCCATTTCTACCGGTGGTTCAGTTAAACTCCCGAAAATATGGCTGGTATATTTCATTGTATGAATTATGTGTATGAAAATAAATTGCATTTTTTCTGGATTTTATTTTACTCACATCCATCAACTGATTTTTCGATGAGATAAATTCATACAAATTAGATGTCTGGTCAGAGACCGAATCGACTGCATATAATAGAAAGTTGGGATGAACTGCGGGGTCCAATACGTACTGGGAATAGGGATAGAAATTATCGAAATCCCCTCGGAATATCATAAAAAATAATGTTCGAAGCATTTTCAAGCGTATATGGGTCCCAAACTAACATCGATAATAAGGTGTCGATAATGAACAAGGGCGATAATTCAGAATTTTTCCAGTTTTCCTCATGGTCAACACAAAATATCAATTCTTGTCTACGACGCTTGTTCTGAGAACCATTTTTCCTCGTAGACCTTTCAAAATGACAGCAGTTCAAGTATGTCATCACAATTTTGACACTGCAAAACTTTTATAAATTTTTCTTTCCGTATCTGTCGCAATTCTGTCCATATCTATCTATCTATCTATCTATCTATCTATCCAAATTCTGTTCCAATTTATCTTAGTTCTGTTCAAATCTATCTATCTATCTATCTATCTATCTATCTATCTATCTATCTATCTATCTTATCTCAAATCTATCTATCTATCTTCTCTTCTATCTAAATCTATCTATCTAAGTTCTGTTCAAATCTATCTTAATTCTATTCAAATCTATCTATCTAAGTTCTGTTCAAATCTATCTTAGTTCTGTTCAAATCTATCTATCTATCTATCTATCTATCTATCTATCTATCTATCTATCTATCTATCTATCTAAGTTCTGTTCAAATCTATCTTAGTCCTGTTCAAATCTATCTATCTATCTTAGTTCTGTTCAAATCTATCTATCTATCTATCTATCTATCTATCTATCTATCTAAGTTCTGTTCAAATCTATCTTAGTTCTGTTCAAATCTATCTATCTATCTATCTATCTATCTATCTATCTATCTATCTTAGTTCTGGTCACATCTATCTGAGACTAGATTTCCAAAATTAACCTGTTTTATCTTATTCTTTCTTTCTTCTTTCTTTCTTTCTTTCTTTTTTTCTTTCTTTCTTTTTTTTTTCTTTCTTTCTTTCCTTCTTTCTTTCAATCCATATGTGAGTTTCAAATAGATGAGCCAGGATGATTATTCTTTTTGGGAGATAAATACACTTGGGGCCTCCTTAATCACACTACTCCTTTTATTAAGTATTTAGTAATTATCTTCCTACTAATCAATTTAGGTTGCCACCATTCTACGACAAATTCTTTCATTAGTTAATATTATAACTATTATAAAAATATATATTATTTAAATTCCAGGCCTCTTTTTCTCAAATACCGCATTTATTTGTAACTCAAGACTGTCTATCTCTCTATCTATGAGTTTAATATCTATCTATACGTGTTTGTTTATATCTGTCTATATCAGTGTATGTTTGTTTATATCTATCTATATCAGTTTGTACATATGTATCTATATTAGTTTGATTATATCTACCTATATTTATCTATGTATGTTTAGACAACGAGAGACTCAAACCACTTTATCAGTGACTTTTCTAATACGGAGAAAAACATTCTATTCATATAAACAGTAAATGTTCATCATTTATATTATTCTTCTAAGTTTAAACAACTATAACTCATTGAACAGATTTTTTTTTTATCTTACTACACCCTTTTTTCTGCAAGATAGAAACATGAGAAATAAATTTGCCAAAAGCAAAGATGAAAATAATTATCATTAAGATGCGTTCTTAAGCATGTGCGAACACATGGCAATTAACGTTCTTCGTATTTTTAGTTTAGGTCGTCATGATCTATTTTAACTCTCAAGAAAACCACATTTATTTGGGAAGTATATAAAATGAAAAAAAAACTAAAAAAACTAACAGGCTTCGCCCACTCGCTATCTTTTCGCAAATTAAAATATATTCACTACTTGAAATCTTTGAAACAAGAATTTTAAATGGACTTTTCATTCATAAATTGGTTTGTTATAGTCAAGGAAAGTTTTACAAATAGATGCCAACTTGTTGAAGGCCAAGTAAAATGTAAATTTCAAACACTTTTCTTCATTATATAAAACTATATTCCTAAACGGAATTATTTTTTAGAAGAAAATCAAAAGAATCCTCGAATAAAAGGACAGTACTGAAGGACACTTGATTAATGAAATAAACTCTCATAGCACCAACGAGAGGGATCGGTGCTCGCATCGAGACCGGCGCAATCGAAAGCTGCCCGAGGCCACGATTTCTCATTGTACCAGAGAGAGGCATCGGTGATCGCACCGATACCAGCGCAACCGACGGTTGAGGGGACTCGGGCTATTTTTGTTGCTACCTCGGTTGTACACATTAGGGTTCCCTACATGGAACCAACCTTGTGTCGCAACCTAAACTAGGGGTTGAGTAAATACAAATTAGTCTAAAGTAGTTTGTAACATGTTTATTTATCATGTTTATTATTGGAAAGAGTGCAACTCAGGAAAATTATACGGAGTACTGCCAGCCCTGGGGAACAGCTGCTCGAAGCCGCGCACTCTCATTGCACTATAAAGAGATGTTGGCGCACCAAGGCCAGCGCAACCGGCGGTTGTAAGCGCTCGGGAAATTTTTTGTTCCTAGCTCGGGTGTACGTGCTCGGGCTCCCCACATTAACCGACTGTGTCACATTGCGAATTCGTGGAGCGGGGGTGGAGGGGGGTCGACTATATACCAAATTAATCTAAAGTAGTTTGTAACGTGTATATATCATCTCTCAGTTGCGTCTCTGTCTTCAGGCAGACGGCGCTCAGAGGCGGCTCCGTGCAAGGACAGAGTCGCAACTGAAGAAAATTATACTGAGAGGTCCCATCCCCGGGGAACAGCTGCTCGAGGCAGCACCATTTCATTGCCCTAGAGAGAGGCATCGTCGCTCGCACCCAGCGTTTGTGGGGACTTGGGCAATTTTTGTTGCTAGTCCGGGTGTATGTGCTCGGGCTCCACATATTAAACCGACTTTGTGTCACAACGCGTCTTCGTCTGGGGGTCGAGTAAATACCAAATTACTACAAAGTAGAGCTTTTTTTTTTTAAATCAGAATTCATTGGAGAATTGAGCTCCAATTTCGCATGTATTCATATAGATTCCATAACATAGATTTTACTTAATTAGCTATTATGTTTCTTTAATTCTTCAAATATTTAATGTATAACTAATTCTAATTTCTATTTTTCTATCTTTACACTATATTCAATTGTCCCATTAAATAAAAATAATTCTTTGTACGTAAAATAAAGATCTACGTACATCAAATCGTCTTTAAATTAAGAGGCAGAAGAAGAATTATCGTTGAACTTTTAAAAGGTACGCTTAAACTTTAATTCAAGATCCCAAAATTGATTGCTGCCTTTAATTATGCAGCAATCAATTTTGGGGACTTCTGTAGTTTATTGACGCTTATCGCATCTATTCATCCCTAGCTATTTTGATGATGGCCAAACCAAGAATCCTCCAAGTGCACGGCAATTTTAGTTACAAAAGGAAAAATAGGAGTTACTCCAATTGAACGATGAAAAAAACGATAATGGCTAGTATAATATATTAATACATATTTTTAACCTCGCATAATCTGTCAACCCTGAATCTGAGCTCAGTAAAAATCGTTCCCTGTGCCTAACTTTACTAGCGCTTTTGAATGACCATGGGAACGGAGGAGTTGCTTGGACACAGACACGCACAAACACAAAAATATACAATATACTTTATACAGGGGTTAAAATATCACTACTTATATTGACAGAGAACCTTGGTATGTGGAGGTGCTTCTAGACTGACAAGTCGCAAGGTATTCCTGGAGTTGGTTAAGAAAAATCCTGAAATTACATTAGGAGCAAACCACCTGCATGAATTGAGTAAATATCCAGAAATAGACAAGGATTTGTCTTCTCATCGGATTTATTCAATATTCATCTTCAGATAGAAATCCCACCAGGATATATTATTGGTGAGTACGATATTATGAACATTCGATATGCATATATGTTAGACGCAAAATGAAAACGTCTTTATTAACTAGAGAAGGTATTTTTTTAAATCATCTTACCCCAAAAAGGCAATAAAGCCAATAGGGCACAAGGAATTAATGAGTACAAGAGAATGGGAGAAAAAAACAATATCAAGGTGATAGAACCATAAAATAACAGGAATTAAGAAGACAGAAGATAAAGATTAACATTGCATTTAAATTTTTGAATATCACTGTTGAGGCCGGAATAGAGTTGCACGAGCGAGAAGTGCGATAAAAGAAAGTATAAGCATAAAACCTGGTTACATCGAGAGATTTCAACTGGAAAAAAAATGAGACCTTACCGCCAATCTAGTATTGCGTTTAAGATAAGTTGCGCTTCAGAAGAATTACATGAAAATATTTATAGAAAAAGCTTAGTGAAGCGAATTTACGGCAGTGGGATAGTGACTGAAACCGAGGTGCCAGATCAGGACTAATAACCTTGCAGATTCTTCTTTGGATTTTATCAGGGACCTCGAAATATATAGCAGCATCACCAGACCAGATATGGAAGCAATATTCAAAGCAAGACATTCTTCTTCTTCTTCTTCTTCTTCTTCTTCTTCTTCTTATTATTATTATTATTATTATTATTAAGTTTATTTTCTTTTTTTCTCGACAAGAAGAAACTTACGATTCCATCTAGCTATTTCAAATGTTTCGACAGATTCGAATCTTTTACAAACTGAGGAAGCGAGATAAATTTTTAATTTCGCATAGCTAAAGCCTTGAAATCTGATCCACAACCTCAAGTGGAGATTCTTTCGAGTCACTATAAATGCTGTGTAAATGTATGTTGTCACTACCTAGACATTAACTGAAACCCTAGTGTCTAATCTTAATGAAACCTATACTCGGATTCTGAGAGCTATACTTAACATCTCATAGAGACAACATCCAACTAAATCACAGCTCTATTGGTCAACTTTAATGCTTCAAAAACAAAACTGCTCTCTATTAATCACCACAGAGATCCTTCCCTGCCCTCCATTAGAATGTTTGACGCTCAACTTCTCGAGAGCACCTCTCTGCGGCTGCTCGGTCTCACGTTGACGGCTGACCTGAGATGGAACAAATACATTGAGTCAATTGCTTCGTCCTCCGCAAGGAAAGTTGGCTCCCTGTGCCGCACCAGGAAATTTTTCTCCCCGGAATCGATCCTCCAGATCTACAAGTCCACAATTCGCTCTTGCATGGAGTATTGCTGCCATATATGGTCTGGAGCCCCTTCTGTTTGCCTCGGGGTTCTTGACAGGCTCCAGAGGCGGATATTCAATATAATTGGCCCTGATCTGGCATCTCGTCTACAGTCACTTTCTCACAGACGCGCCGTCGCCTCTCTCTGTCTGTTCTACAAATATTTTCATGGCAATTGCTCCGAGGGCTGCATTCGCTTTTTTTCCCAGACTTCATGAGTTCAAGCGCCCTATGAGGCTGGCATCCCGCTCTCACCCCTTTCACTGTCGAAACTCCTAAATGTAGCCGTCTCTTCTACTCCAATAGCTTCATGTATCGCACCTCTCGCCTGTGGAAAACCTTTCTCTATTCCAGTTTCTCTGATAGCTATAATCCCCAACTATTCAAATGTAATGTCAATCGACATCTCCATTGCCTTGATCTATCCACTACCCTTCTCCTCATCCTTTCTTCTATCACTCCTATCTGATCTTGCTCTAAATTTTCTGTAACCCCTTGCGTCCTAGTGGCTTCCCCCCTTGCTTGGGGTGGAACGCTTAAAAAAATTCTATAGTCTTATGCAAACGCAGAATGACCTTTGCATGACACTACTAGCAAGCCAAACAAGAAGTCGCGGGTGAGATCCTTCTGTTCTGGATACTTAACATTGGTAGACGGATTGGTCACCCAGCAACCAGCTACATTGACCAGCTGTCTTATGGCGCAGAATGCCTCCATAATGACCTTCCGACATTGAGGCAAGACCGTGATGATAGGCGTGATAGACACATGGATGTCCGAGCTAACCGAGAAAGGATAAATCATCAATAGTGAAGAAGGTGAAATATATGGTCGTCAGTAATAGACATTTTTTAAGATGTGAGCTACGAAGCAGGAAGCAGTTTAAACAGATGACAGAATAGTGGCACCGAAATTCAAAGTTGCGTTGGAATAGCTAAAGTTGTCTTGCAAAAATTATGCAAATTCAAAAAAAAAAAAAAAAAAAAAACAAAAAAAAAAAACAGGCACATTTCCTTATAAACGAACGAAAGAGTGCTGAACTGCTACGTAATACCAATCCTCCTATATTGACAATTCCCCTACGGTCACAGAAGATTTCGGGCAACAAAGATGTGATTCTGCAAAAGGATTCTCAGAATGCAATTGATGGAGCATGTAACCAAGTGGGGAGTCATGAATAAAATGGAAATAAAAAAAAAAGATAAGTTTATATAAAATCAGGATGAGAGTGCCGAAACTTCTGGATCTCATAATGACGGTTTGGACATTCGTTTGGACGTTATACCGAAGACAAAACTGACGAGAAACATATTTAACGAGCTTGTGCAAATTGATCGTAGAACAGAGAGAGTGAGAGAGAGAGAGAGAGAATGATATTAAGAAAAATCAAACAAAAACATTGCTAAGAGCTACAAAGGATGGGAAGTTGTGGAGAGCCATAATAACATACGTCCTGATGGAACATAGAAAAATAATTTCTCTAAGGGAAACTTTTCGTCTATTATTGTTCACGTAGATAAATTCTTATATAAGGATTGTTTTGCATTCTTCATAGAATTCGATCGCGGTCAGAGACATTGATTCTTTCTTGAATTAGCTTAGTATTGTACAAGGTCTGAAGTGTAGATTGACCAATGAGAAATAGTCCACTACATTAGTAATTGTTGACAAGTTTACCTTGAACTACTTTACGGTTAAGCACATATATTTGGTTTGCATTAAATCATTTCTCTTAGTGATCATTTTATTTCTTTTTTTCGTCATTTTCTTTTATTTCTTCACATTCAATTATTGTGATTTCTTTTTCTTTCTTTTTTCTTTCTTTCTTTCGTTTTTCTTTCTTTCTTTCTTTATTTATTTATTTATTTATTTACTTATTTTCTTTCTTTACGTTGATTTTCTTCCGTTTTTTTTCTATTTATTTTTATCTTATTTTCTATCTTTCAATTGTTTGTTCAAATGTTACGCTCAGTCTTTCTTTTCATATTTCTGCCATATTCACCCTTTTTTCTTTTTTTCCTTTTTTCTTTATCTACTTCTTTCTTTATTTCTTTTCTTTTCTTTTCTTTGTCTGCTTAATTGTTTTTTTTCTTCCTGTTTTTCGTCTTCATTTCATTATAGATTTATTTTGTCATGTTTGTTTCTTTGTTTCTTTCTTTTCCATTCACTCAGACACTTATATTTTTAACTTCTCTCTGAATTTCATCAATTTTTCCTAAATTCGCGAGTTAGCATTTTGTATTCTATATTTTGTTCTTTCCTTGTATTCTGTATCTTTCTTTCTTTCTTTCTTTCTTTCTTTCTTTCTTTCTTTCTTTCTTTCTTTCTTCCACATTCA